CCCTTAGTTTCTCTATATAAGGAGAGCCCCTCCTTCCATTTTAAGGGTTAGAAAAATCTGATATATATCACATATATATCACTCCCTCTATATATCTCCCTCTCTCTCTCTACATTTGTGTAGATTAGAGGGTCCAAAAGGGGCTTGTTCTTGGCCTATTGCACACCACTTCATAGCCACACACTTCCATCATCACTTGGAGGTTCTTGGAGCTTGTTTTCAGAGGTTGAGGACTAGTTTTTGAGACCAAAAGGCTGCTGGTTCTTGCTGGTCTTCAAAGGTAACCCATTTTCCCTCTTTATTCCCCGTTTTTGCACACCCTTTTAGCCTGTCTTTCTTGCGGATTTGGGCTTTGTGTATAACATAAAAAAGTTCTACTTTTTTTTTGTGTTTAAGATACTTCATTAAGGTCACTTTTGTGTTTGGGGTCGTTTACCCCCTCTTAGGCCTTGTTTGGCCCCATTTTGTGCTATTTTTGGTGAGTTTCGGGACCACCTTGTTTGGGCCTCCTCACCACTGAAATCTTGAGGGATTTTCCCAGGGTTGGTGAGGATGGTGGTTTGGAGGCCTAAGGAAGGAGAGGTCATCACCCTCCCTTGTTGTCTTGTTTGATTGCCCTTTTTGGCCTTACAAATGGGCCTATATTTGCACACTTTCTATGAGCTCGGTTCACGGCATTTTTTTAAGTGGGTTTTAGGGACCTCCATAAGCCATTTTCCGAGTTGTTTATGGTCATATTGGAGGTCCCTCTTGCATGTGATATAACAACCCCTTGCATGGCCTTCCAAAGGAGCACCTTCATTCTTAACATGTGTTGTTCATATTTCAGGTGGGTATTTGGTGTTTATTAGCATGTTTTACCTCTGTCCCAGTGTGGTTTGTTGACCCTTGGCAATGCATCATACACGTTGCTTTGTATTCCTCTATTTGCCTAGAAATATGATCTTGCTTTGGACCACCAATGCTTGCCATATTTTGCGCTTAGCTTTGTGAAGTTTTTGGGCATGTTTTTTAACATTGCTATAAGGTCTCGGTCTGGGTCTTTGGATTCATGTTTTCCAGCTTTGTATAACTTACTTTGCATTCTAGCTTACCTAGCCTTGGGTAATGTGTAGGTTCACTAGTATGCTTTACTTGGCTATTTCTCATTGATTTGGCAGCATTCGAGACCAACATTCGTGCATGTTCCCATGCTTGCATACTTTGCATTTTCCATTCCCTTTCATGCTAGTTTGAAAGAGTTGAATGGCTTATGCTCCATGTTTATGGCCTTGGCATGGCAAATGCTTGATGTGAGTTTTTCTGCCTTTGATTACATCATTATGGCCACTGATTTTGGACGTGCTTGAGAGCTACCTATATTAGTTTAAGTCCTACTTTGCATTGATGTTGCATGCTTGTCTTGCATATTGTCACATCTTGCTCCATTTTGCATGATTGTTTGCATGCTATACATATTCACATGTCATGTGTGCATACTAAGCTTCCATGCCTAGTTGCATAGTATTTTGGCATGCATACTTTGCCTCTTGATTTGAGTATGATAGAGGTTGAGCTCATTGTTTGTTTATGGCATTTCATTCCACATTGAAATTGCACACTTTGGTCTTTGGGCCATCACGCATTGAAATGCGCTAATTGGTGCCCGAGAATTCAAGTACCATGCTCCTTTGAGCCATAAGCATGATAGGGAGTGTGGTGGTGCATACATTGCTGAAATATCATTGCCATGCTTGTCTGCCCTCTGCTGCTGTTCAAACAGGTTTTCAGCTGGAAGAAATTGGCCGGCCGACCATGTTGAGTGTGCTGACCGGCAAAACAGGTTTGGCCGAAGAAATAATTTTAGCCGGTGGTCATTTCCATGGGCCGTGGCAAATCCCCTTAGCCGGTGATGTTCCAAGCATCAGAGAAGCAAACCTTGGGACTTATGCAGTCTTCAGAGGAGGATAACAGTGCAAAAGTGGAGGCAACTTGTGCATGGCTGTGACTTTCCGAGCGGAACCGCGCATACATTGCATGGGGCCCTCTCCCAGGCTGTTACTGTTTTCCTAGATTAGTTAATTTGCTTAACTATAGTTAAACGGACTGTAATATTAGTTAGCTCGATAGTTAATTAATTGTATTATTCTTTTGGTTCCCTCCGAGCCGAGGGCGAATTTGTAATAAGTGTGGGTGCATGTGTGCATGTCTTCAATCCCCACTTCTTTCTCCCTTTTACTTAAAATGCTTTCGATGGTTAGACATTAGGGCATATTTAATTTAGCATACCTTATGCTATGCATGCGTGCATCCATACATTTTGTCTTGCATATATTCGGGCTCGGCGCATCATACTAACTGCATTGTACTTGAAATTCCAAGTTGAATACGTGTTAGTTTGTATCATCATCTATATGCCATCTTAGAATAGCGAGTCTGTCTAGATTGCATCTTTGCATGTGTTTGCACTAGCCATTTTTAACCTGAACTAGGATCATGCATGTGATTACTAACTAGTTTCTGTTTTGGTTTGGAGTACTCTGATTAAGTTCTATGCCTTTAGCATCCTGCATTGTGTGAGTGTTGCCATGACATGCATGATTACCAATGAGGCTAGCTGCTTATGTGATATAACTGCTTGATGCCCTGTGGATGGAGGTTGAATTAACTAAATTGGGACCAGGGGGTGCTCATAGGTGACCTTCCCCAATCGTACCCTAGCTCCCGAGCCGAGACAACTCCGGTGATGACGGACATGTGGCCTTCGGCACCGAGTCAGGGTTTCCTAAATTTTCCCATTAAAAATATTTAGGTGGCGACTCTGTATCTGGCAAAGCAGTCCATGTTTGGCACTTCTTTCAAAAACTGTTTTTCTCAAAACGATTTGCCGGATTTGGACTCTTTGGTTCAGATTAGGAACCGTGACAATTCAAGAGTCCGAACTGCAGGGAGCCCAAATGAACGGAACGGGACTCACCCTCCCGGGGCGTTCAGGGACGTCTACAGGATAGAGCCAGGTGTAAGGTTAATATATCATACAAAAGCTGCCCAGTTAGAGAATTTGGAAAAAAGTCTTAACTTCATGTAATCATTATTGGTAAATTCACCACATTGGGCGGCGAACCTAGCAATGTGTTCTACTGTTGACTGGTTTCCATTCCCATAAAAAAGAGCAAAGTCTGGTATTCTAAACCCCCTTGGGTATTCATGCACCCTATCTACCCATTTTGGGTATGGCTTCCTATACACAGGAGTTTGAACCCCCCAAGCCATATGTCCACACATTTCTCTGACAATATTAGCAATTTGGTCCCTAAGAACCATATTTTGTGCTTGTTGGACTACCACTGGAGGAACAAACACAGGATTTGGTGGAAAACCTTGTGCCTAAGGTCCTCTTGGTCCATAAGGAGGTATATTTGGGACTGGTTGTCCTTGTGGTACTGGCTGCTGTTGAGGGTATGGTTGACCTCTCTGAGCCTGTCCTGAGAAAGGACCTGCGAAAGGTGCTATAATATGAGGAACATGTGTTGTTTCTCTTCCAGCCGCAGGAAACCCTTCCAACCCCCTCGGTGTGAATTTGAACAAGGGATTAGTGAACCCCCTTATGCCAGGTATGGTTTCGAACATGGGATTTGGAAACATTCTCATGCTATTTTCTTGTGTTGGTCCAGATCCACCAATTTATATGGCTTCGCTGTTAGGTAATGAGGCATTTTGATTTACCATAGGTCTCGAAAGAGGCTCATACCAAGACTAAGGTATAGGTGATGGTCTTTCATAATTTTGATTACTAGTCTGACCATTAGTATGTCCATTACTTTGCATAGTCTGTTTATCTCTGGTCAATCTTTGCTGAGGAACATTTGAATTTTCCTCCATATGCCTTGTGTTAGTTGGTTGATGGGAATTCATCTGATCCATAAAGGATATTGCCCATCTTTCCATTGTGTTCATTAACTACAGTCCCATGGCATCTACTAGGCCTCTCCATGGATTCATTGGCTGAGTAGATGGAACAGTGGATGGTCCAATTCCATGGCCTCGTCCAATATTTTGAACATGTGGTGCATGTTGGTATGTTCGACCATAGGTTCTGATGAGATAGGTGCTTTCATAGGATGTGTTATCACATTATCCTCTAGATCAGGTACCTTTACCTCTCATTCCACACCTTTTTCCAGGCGTTCATTTTCTCCTTGTCTCTTATGTCTAGTCATTTCACTTAGTCCCACTGGGTGTGCCAAAAATATATGTTGGCTTTTTTGGCTTTTGAAGGTTAGTATTATAATTTTAAGCGTGCCAACAAAGATCAATCAGTCCTTACAGAAGATTAATTACCAACCAATTATTAGACGATTGTGTTTTAGTTCTTTTAGCCTCAATGAAGAGGACTTTTACTAGTGGCATGTTTAGGAGAATTTAGTAAATAACAATTAAGTGAAGAATAATTTCAGAATTTCATTAAGTAAAATGAAAAACTTACAATGGTCTGACCCAGCCTCGTAGAGGTTTATAGTAACAAGCTATTTGTAACTACTCCTATGAATAAAGTGCAGTACAGGAATTTGAAGTACAGAAATATAAAGAACTGTAAAAACTAGAAGGGAAAACAAAGTAAATAAAATTAGTTTTTTATCTGAGTCTAGATCTTTCACTCTGGGGCCTTCTCTGTTATTTATACTTCTCAATGATAACCGTCGAAGTGGGCTTCTAACCGTCGAAATGTCCTCTCATGATTGTTGAACATGTTCTCTCACAATCAGTCCCACTACGCCACCTTTGCAGTTAGGCCTCCCTCCTGATTTTGAATTTGAACTTTGTGAGTAACCGTTAGGCACATCACCTTATATCCCTCGATCGTTCCAGTGCTACACAAATCCATTATTATCAATACGAGCTGACACGTGTCTGACTATGGTTGGCAACTGGTATTAATTCCCCAAATTGCCCTCTTCATGCCACGTGTTGAATTGTGATTGGCTTTTACAAATTATATAGCCAACAGGCACATAACAAAAATGTTATATCGAAAGCTGCGTTGGCTCAATGTGTACGGAAAGAACGTGAAAGAAATGAAAAGGTAAGCTCTGCATATATCAATTGGGACAACGTTTGCGACATGAACGAGAGAGATCAAGAGATTTGATTCCACCAAGAACAACTAATACTCCACCGAGCACAACTAATACTCCACCGACTCAAAAAGGAGTAGTGTTTACACATCTTACTTTGCCAAGCACATCTTTAGCTTCGCAAAGGAATTGGTAAAACACTGTGTTTAATTCTATAAATAGATATTCTTATTGTTAAGATTTAATTTTATAAATTTTATTTTTGTACACAACAAATATTTGTAGGCCTACTCATGCAAGCCCATTCCTCCATGAGATTAGGAATATTAGAGTTGTTATTCGCAATGAGTGCAATCTCAATATTATCCACATTTCTAAGGTAAGTAGAAAAATCAAGTTGAACATTGTATTCTGAATAAATTTCGTATTCTTAATAAATTCCATAAATACATAATCTTTTTTCGTATTTTGAATAAATTTTATTTACTTTTGGTAGGCAAAGGAAAAGGAAAAGGCCAATGCAATATCTAAAGGAAAAGAAAAGGCAACTTCTTTTGATAAAGGAAAGGAAAACGCATGTCCAATGGTATATTCTTCAACATTTTTCTTAAAAATATTTATCAAGTAAAACAAAGCCAATCATATTGTTAAAGTGAACATCGATCATGTATATTTTTAAAAATGTAAAATTTGTGTTGTCAATTTTTTTGTGTGGATTTTTTACATTTTACAAAAAAAAATCAAGAGGACGAAAAAAGGTATGGTTGAAATTTATTTTTCAATGCTCTTTGTTTTCTGTACACTCAAACAAAGTATTTTTAGCTCTCTTTAACATTTCCTAAAAAATAGTTGTAACCTTGATCAACTCCAAGAAAAACTTTATAACATCTGAGCAAAGGAACAAAGGTATAAAAAATATTTCTAATTTTCTTAAAATTATCATGAGGCAAGGAAGCAAGACAAAGAAAATATTTCCAATATTCTTAAAATTATCACATGGCAGGCAGAGCAAGCAAAATATAACTAAAATAAAAAAATATATATTAAATCAAGAAATGAAATAGTAGACGATAATATTTGTATTTTAGGTACCAATGATATAATGTTCACATTTTAGGCATAAAATAATAATGTTATATCAAAAGCTACATTGGCCCAACGTACATGGCGAGAACAAGAGAAATCAAGAGAATGTATTCAACCGAGACAAACTTCTTTAATACCTTGTCGTCGTAGTCGTGCTTGCTTGGAACTAGGAACAGAGGCAATTGAGGATTCTCAGTCAGCGCAAAAACAAACAATGGTTGCCCATCCTTCCATATGTTCATTCTCAATGCCAAGCACATCTTTAGCTCCACAAAGGAATTGGTAAAAGACCGTGTTTAATTCTTCAAATACATACTCCTATTATTGCCATTCTATTTTAATTTACACAGAACCAATATTTGTAGGCCTACGCTTACAACTCCTTCCCTTCAAGAGGATCAATGTACTGATGAGGAATTAGAGGATATGCTTATGAGTCCAACGGTTGGCGCTTGAGCACATATAAATTCATGTCGTCATTCTCTTGGCAAGATGGATGTATTATGTCATTTCTGTTCAATATTACATTGGATGGATGAAAAATTAGTAAAACCATCTCCAAACCGTCCTCGATTCGGAACATGTTGTTCAAAAGGAAAGGTTAAGCTTCCTCTGTTTATTACACCCCCTTGACTTCTTCAAGCATTATATGATGGGAATGATGATAAATCAAAATCGTTTTGACGTTATACTTGAGTGTACAATGCAACCAATGCTTTTACAAGTCTTGATGCTACATTAGATCCAAGAGTACTTACTGGAAGAGGACCTACATCATTCACTATCCATAGGAAATTGCAACATCGAACAAGATCACTACTACCACAATCAAGGTAGGATGCCGTTTATGCACAATTGTACATTTATGACCCTGATTCAGCTTTAAAAGTTCGCAATCATAGAAATCCTCAATTAAGAGGAGATGTTTTAAAAAACTATTCAAGATAGTTTATTACAGGTGAATGCATTCGTTGCTAAATTTCGTCAAGCTCATGCAATTTTAAATCAATTAGCCTTGACAGGACGAAATTTACCTGCTCATCTCCACTACAATTCAACAACAGATCGACGACAGTATAACCTACCAACTACAGATGAGATTGTAGTTGTAATACCAGGTGATGGAACTAAGGTTAGTGGAATGAGAGATGTTATCTTACATCTACAAGGAAATAATGAGCTAATGCAAATCAATGAATGTCACCCAGTATATTTGTCATTACATTATGTTTTATTATTTCCACATGGTGAGCTTGGATGGGAACCTGAGATGAAACTGTGGGATGTTCAACGTGATCAGCTTTCAACTGATCGGCTTACTCAAATGGATTTTTATAGTTATCGTTTGTTTGAATAACCCACAGAGTATTCAACAATTTTGAGAGCTGGAAAATTATTCTAAGAGTTTTTGGTAGATGCTTGGGCTGTAACTGAACAAAATAAGTTGACTTACTACAAGCTTAGTCAAGGGAAAATCCGTGCAGAACTTTACCAAGATTTGACAGATATTGATCCAAATGACCTGTGACCCAATCAAATTGGTCAAAGGTTTGTTTTGCCATCTTCATTTCCTGGAGATCCTAGACACATGTTTGAAATCTTTCAAGATTCAATGGCTATCACACGATACAACCAACATCCAGACATTTTTCTCACCATGACTGCAAATCCTAATTGGCTAGAAATTACTTCGACATTATTACCGCACCAAAAACCTATTGATTGTCCTAATTTAATTGCCCGTGTTTTTGAGTTGAAGAGAAAGTGTTTGATGAAGGAGATAGAAACAAACCGAGTGTTTGGTAATAAAGTTGCGCATGTTTTTACAATTGAATTCCAAAAACAAGGCCTACCACATATGTATGGAAAATGGTAAATGCACTAAGAGATACCCTTGAGCGTTCACAGAAACAACTACTATGGATCAAGATGGATATCCTATCTATCGTTGTCGCAATAATGGTCAAGTTCATATTGTGAGGGAGAAAGAAGTTGATAATAGAGACGCCGTATCATACAATGCATATCTTTTTAAACATTTCAACTGTCACATAAATGTGAAAGTTTGTGCCGAAATGAGATGTGTCAAATATATACACAATTACATTTACAAGGGTTATGATCGTACAACAATGGTGTTGAGATTGATAAATGAGATCCAACAATATCTCGATGCGAGGTATATTGGACCTCCAGAAGCTACTTGGCGAATATTTGGTCATCTATTGCATGCTGAGATACCAACAGTTGTACGCTTAGCACTTCATTTACCTGGAATGCACTGTGTTCTTTTAATCCTGATGAATCATTAGAAGCAATTGTTTCTAGAGCTGGCCAACAAATGTCAACTCTTACTGGTTTTTTTGTATGTTGTGCTTCTATGGAAGATGAATGTCCATTCACTTACCAAGAATTTTGACAACATTTTGTTTGGCTTAATTTAGAAAAGAGATGGAAACCAAGGCAGCAGGGCTATGCAATTAGTAGAATGTACTTTGCTAGCCCTAATTGTGGTGAGAGATTTTATTTGTGTTTGCTATTAACTGTTGTCAAAGGACCAAAATCGTTTCAATGCTTACGCTCGGTCAACAATGTTTGGTATGATACGTTTAAATCAGCAAGTGTTGTAAGAGGATTTTTAGAAGATGATAAAGAATGGATACAATGCCTTAAAGAGGCTGCAATTATGAAAACTGGTTATCAATTGAGGAGATTGTTTACTATTATTCTTACTCAGTGCTCTCCACCACAACCATATTTGTTATCAATGCCTATATGTGATGATCTTGCACATAAGATTCGAACATTGTTTGCCATTTTTGAATCAAATGCTCCAAGAATCAGGAAAAAGTTTAATTGAATTCTCGCCAATGCCATAATCTTCTACAAATTAGAGTGCAGTAGTTGGTAACAGGTTGATATTCGAACATCAACAACTATCGAATGAGGCACACCAGACAGATGTAGAAATTATTATTGATCGTCTCAACAATGATCAATGAACAGCTTATGATGCAATCACTTCCTCAGTCTTTGAAAATAAAGGAACTATGTTCTTTTTGAATGGAGGTGCCGGAACAGGGAAAACGTTTTTTGTACAATACAATTGCATTGAAGTGTCGCAGCCTTTGCCATATTGTTATTATTGTGGCTTCATCTGGAATTGCATCATTGTTATTGGTAAGAGGTCGCACTTCTCGTTCAACTTTTTCCATTCTGTTGGATGTATTGGAAAATTCAATTTGTGGATTTAGCAAGCAATCATTACAAGCAGAATTGTTTAGAGAAACAAAACTTATAATCTGGAATGAAGTTCCTATGCAGCATAGACATTGTGTTGAGGTAGTTGATCGCACACTTTGGGACACTTTTGATAGTGAAAAGTCATTTGGGGGTATTGTTACCTAAAAGACAACCAAGAGGGGGGTGAATTAGGTTTTTACAATTAAAATTTATAATACCCTAATAAAAATTATGACTAGCACAATAGATAAATATAATTAATGAAATAAAAATAATTAAAACAAGTGTCTTAACAACTATGTCAGTTAATGATTTTAGCACAGTAAAAATGTGAAATATAACTATGGCAATTTAAAATAAAATAAAAAGATAAGGGAGAGAGAGGCAAACAAATTTATAGTGGTTCGGCTTCAACTCGGCCTACGTCCACTCCTCAAGCTTCACTTGAGATTTTCCACTATCTTCTAGCTTCACAAGGGTGCTAGCAACATCTTTACAAATTGAGCAATCCTCCACGGATTTTACACAGACTTCACAAGCCCAAACCCTTGCAAATCTTAGGTGATTCACAATCACTCTCAAGATTTTAAGAACACAGTGTTTGCAACACTTTTACAAGATGAAATGGTATTTTTGCTTTCAAAGAAAGCTTACAATAAATATCTCTAAAAAATAGATAGATAAAATGAAACTTTTATTTTTCTGTAAATCTCACATAAGAAAGATGAGCTTAAAGCTATAAGGCTCAGTGCATAATTTCTAAGAATACATGTGAGTGATTATAGATCAAAGAATATTTTCAAGTTTTTGTAACTTGTTTACATTAGAGGCTTTGGTATATATAATGAAAATTATAGCCGTTTATAGCAGTTGTAGTCATTTAAATTTATAGCCGTTGTACTTCCATCATTACCAATTTGAATATCTTCCACTCCATCATTACAAATTTGAATATCTTCCACTTGAACCTTTTGGCCTTTTGAACCTTTATAACCGTTTATAGCTGTTGTACTTCCATCATTTCTAATTTAAATATCTTCCACTTGAACCTTTTGAACATTTTGGCCTGCTGCTGTGCTAGGTTTTTTGAACCTTTGTTTTGGGCTGTTTGAACTGCTGATTTAATCAAATATTAAATACATTCTAACAACATTTAGGATAAAGGTTTAAGTGAGAAATAATGGGACAAAATAAATTTTGATTCTATTTTTCTCTTTCAAATAAATCATCAAAATAAATTTTGATTCTATTTTTCTCTTTCAAATAAATCATCAAAATAAATTTTGATTCTATTTTTCTCTTTCAAATAAATCATCAAAATAAATTTTGATTCTATTTTTCTCTTTCAAATAAATCATCAAAATAAATTTTGATTCTATTTTTCTCTTTCAAATAAATCATCAAAATAAACATAGGTTAGCACATGTGTAATAAATAAGCTTTAATCAATAACATGATATAAGATTAAGATATCAAACTATAAATATATAACATCAGATTAGTTTGAAAATAATACCATAATACATAACATCATATAATTTTCTCCCCCTGTGACATTATCAAAAGGAAATTATGGCACAGAATCTGGAGGAGGAGGAGGAGGAAAATGATAGTGATAAATGGCATCAAAAAATAAATAATCAAAACAAATATATACATATATATATATATATACGATTCGCCCGCATCTCTTTTTTGTTCGTTCGAAAAGCGCGTTGGACACGCATTCTCGCTTTTGCGTCAACCGACCGACAAAAGCAAGATGGGTCAATCAGTCAATCAGCTGCCTCGGCTCTCTCTCCCTCTTGTCGTCTTCTCATCCGTCTTCTTTTTAATCACTCTCTTCGCTTCTTCTTCCTCATTTGCTTCGTGAAAGAGATAGAACAGAGAGACTGAGCAGAGCAGAAAGGTTGCTAAAAACTACTCTCCTTTCGATTACATCTCTCTCTTCTACTACATGGCCTCGTCCCGTCCCCTTACACTGTTTCCGGACTTGAATGATCCTGTAAGCACTACTGGGCCGAGTGCCCCGGCTCCCACTCTTCCCAACCTTCCTATGATGTCGATTGAGCAAATAATGACAGCTCAATTGGACATTGAAGCCAATCATTTCACACGGACGTCCTGTATGGAGACGGTGACTGCAGTCACAAAATTGGCTCACCGACTGCAAAACAGGACGAGTGAGCTCCATCAGATCAACGCCTAACTCGCTCTGCTCTAGCACATGTACAAGGATGCGCAAGCAGAAATAGGCACATTGAAGGCCGAAAATAAAAAGCTTAAACGGAAGACCATCTCCATGGCCCGATTTGGAGCAACGTCGTTCTTGGCGTTTGATAGTCAGTGGGGAGTCGTCGCTCTCAACGAAAGCACGGGGGCAGGGGCGTCAAGGGTCGCCCAAGGTGATAAAAAGAAAAAGAAAACGATGGAAAATGCGAGTAAGTGAGATCGGCGTATGGCCCGAAAAAAATGAAAGGGTTTTTTTTTTATGGAAATATGTGTATTTTGATTGGCATATGGCTGTAAAAAAATGAAGGGTGTTTTTTTTTTTTTTTTGTTTAAGTACTGAAAAATGAAATTAAAAAGCAGAGAAAAAAAATAAGAAAATTAAGCCCAAACAAAAAATAATATAAAAAGAAAATAAAACTAAAAGAAATTAAGCCTAATAGCAAAATAAATAAAATAAATGAAAATAAAATAATACCAGCAAAAATTAAACTTAATGAGACGTTGGTGTTGCTGGAATGCAAAAAAAATACCATAAGAGTTTTAAAAAAATCAATGTATGCAAAGTTAATTTTACCTTAAGATGCAGAACCCAAAAAAAATTGCATAGTTGAGAATAGCAAACTGTTAAAGAGAATAAATGTATGAAGGACTTAAGAGCATTCAACTGATATAAATGTTTCCATATCAATGTACCAATACACATATATCATTTTAACAAAAATTCAAGTTTCACAGTCATAACAAAATTTTTTAAGTAAAAATCAACATTCCAAGCTCGCTACAAGTAAAATTGAAGCGATCCTCGCTTAGGGCTTTTGTGAAAATATTAATTGCTTATCAGTGTTTACAAATTCAAGTACAATATCCCCTTTTTGAACATGATCTCTTAAAAAATGATGTCGAATTTCAATATGTTTTGTTTGTGCATATTGAACTGGATTTTTGCTTAAATCGATGGCACTAGTATTATCACATTTAATAGGGATATGATCATAATGCAAATCAAAGTCCTCCAATTGTTGTTTCATCCAAAGCATTTGGGCACAACAACTTCTGGAAACTATATATTCAGCTTTGGTCGTTGATAAAGCAACATAATTTTACTTTTTGCTAAACATTGATACTAATGAGTTACCAAGAAAGTGACAAGTGCCACTGGTGTTTTTTCTATCAGGTTTGCATCCGGCAAAGTCGGCATCTGAGTAACTAATTAAATCAAATGCAACATCTCTAGGATAAAACAGTCCCAAATTTTGAGTGCCAACAAGATATCTAAAAATTCTTTTAACAGCACTGAGATGTGATTCCTTATGATTTAATTGATATCTAGCACACATACAAACACTAAACATAATATCGGGTCTACTTGCAATTAAATAAAGAAGTGAGCCGATCATACATTGATATTTTGTTTGATCATTGGACTTACATTTTTCATCCTTGTCTAGCTTAATGGATGTGCTTATAGGTGTTCCAACTATTTTTGAGTAGTTCTTTTGTGTACTTAGCTTGGTTGATAAAAATTCATTCCTTACATTGTTTGATTTGAAGCCCAAGGAAATAATTTAGCTCCCCCATTATGCTCATCTCAAACTGACCTTGCATTCACTTAGCAAATTCCTTACACAAGGTTTCATTAGTAGCACCAAATATAATGTCATCCACATATATTTGCACAATAAGTAAATCATCATTTTTAGTTTTAACAAAAAGTGTTGTGTCAATCGTTCCTCTAGAAAAATTATTTTCAATCAAAAATTTACTTAATCGTTCATACCATGCACGAGGTGATTGTTTTAAACCATATAAAGCTTTTGATAGTTTAAAAACATGATTTGGAAAAGCATGATCTTCAAAACCTGGGGGTTGTTTAACATAAACTTCCTCATTTATAAAACCATTAAGAAAGGCACTTTTTACATCCATTTGATAAAGTTTGAAATCTCTAAAACATGCAAATGCAAATAACATGCGAATGGCTAGCAACCGGAACAAAGGTTTCATCGAAATCAATACCTTCTTCTTGATTGTATCCTTATGCAACAAGTCTAGCCTTGTTTCTTATAATTATGCCGGATTCATCAAGCTTGTTTCGAAAGATCCATTTGGTACCAATAATGGTATGATATTTAGGTTTTGGCACAAGTTCCCACACTTTGTTTCTCTCAAATTGGTTAAGCTCTTCATGCATAGCTATCATCCAATGTTCATCGAATTCGGCTTCTTTAAAGTTTTTAGGCTCAATCTGTGAGAGAAAAGCCAAGTTACTACAAATATTTCTAAGTGAAGAGTGAGTTTCAATACCTTTTGTAGGGTCACCTAGGATTAAATCCTTAGGGTGATTATGAACAAACTTCCATTCTCTTGGGAAATCATCATTGTTTCCTCCTTCTTCTTGAGGTGGGAGAATAGATTGTGCAATCCCTTTGTTCAACTTACATGGTTGGTTCTCTTCTTTATAGATACTTGAATTTTTCACATTTGGCTCCAAATCTATATTATCATTAACAATTTGCTTTTGAGCAGAGATGTTAGTTTCATCAAATGCCACATGTATAGATTCTTCAACAACAAGAGTTCTTTTATTAAAAACACGATAAGATTTGCTAGTTAAGGAATAGCCAGGAAAAATTGCTTTATCAAATTTTGAATCAAATTTATCTAAGTTATCCTTACCATTATTATGCACAAAACGCTTCGGCCCAAAAATATTTAGGAAGATTATTTTCTCAAAGCATTGTTCTACTCATCTCTTCTAAAGTTCTATTCTTCCTTTCTACTACACCATTTTGTTGAGGGGTTCTAAGTGCTGAAAAATTATATCCAATACCATACTCATCACAAAACAATTCAAATTTCTCATTTTCAAGTTCTCTACCATGGTCGGTTTGAATATTAGTAATAAGAAAGCCTTTTTCATTTTGAATTCTACGACAGAGTTTTGTAAAAGAAAAAAAGGTTTCATCTTTGTGTGCTAAAAACATAACTCATGTAAATCTTGAATAATCATCAACAATAACAAGACAATAATGTTTACCATCTAGACTAAATGTCCTTGAGGGACCAAATAAATCCATATGCAATAGTTGTAAAGGTCTAGTTGTGAAAATATGAGATTTTGATTTAAATGATGTTTTAGTTTTTTTTCCTTGTTGACAAGAACTACAAAGATAATCTTTTTCAAATTTAATTTTTGGAAGTCCAATGACCAAATCCTTTCTCAAAAGTTTAGCAATTAAATCCATATGAGCATGACCAAGTCTTCTATGCCATAACCAACTATTTTCATTATTAACATATAAACATTTAACATCACTAGCATAGAGATCATTAAGATGAAAAACATAAACACTATTATGGCGATTACCAACGAATAAAGCTTTATGATCATTTGTGCTTTCAATTGTGCAATGTGATTTATCAAAAATAACTCGATTACCTTTATCACATAATTGACTAATATTAAGTAGGTTATGCTTAAGTCCATCAACAAGTATAACATTTTCAATAGAAAGGTTAAGAGAAATACCGATGCTACCAATACCGATGATTTTTCATTTCTTGTTGTCTCCAAAAGTAACAAATCCTCCATTTTTCGATGATAGTTTAGTAAATAATGATTTATCTCCGGTCATGTGTCTGGAACATCCACTATCAAGGTACCACTTCCCTTCTTTAGCTTTGGATTTAAAGCAAACCTACAAGATGACAATCAAGTGTTGGTTTTTGGTATCCATAGTTTCTTGGGTCCTTCTTGGTTAATTTGTTTGTTAGATCCCTTAATAATCCAAATCTTTTTAATTCTCATGTTCATATTCTTTTTGAATGGACAATAAGATATATAATGGTCTTTCTTTCTACAATAATGACAAGTAATATGAGGGTGTGTCGTGAGAGGTGCATTTCAAAAATTATGTTGAGATTCCTTTATTTCTTAATAGGGTCATATCCAATACCCGTTTTATCAAAAATACATCTTTGATTTCCAAGAAGCATGTTGAGATTATCTCTACCTTTTACAAAATTTTCAAGTGTTTTTTTTAAATCATCAACATTGTTTTTTAAAGTAGTTTTGTCATTAGAGATAGTATCAAAATCATTTTTCAAAATAATTTTTTCTTTATTTAATTCTTCTACATTAATAGATAAAGATGCAATAGATTTCTTCAACACATTATTTTTGGTACAAACTTTTCTAAATTCATTTGATAGTTCATGGAATGCACTTTCAAGTTCTTTATAAAGAGTAGTTACCTCATCTTGAGTAGAGTCTTCATCTTCAAGAACCATGAGACATAAGTTGGCTACTTCATTTTCAATTTTATCACTTGAGCTTTCATCTTCACTTTCTCTCCAAGCTGCTACCATGGCCTTTTTGTTTCTTTTGTAGTCTTTTTCATGATTCTTCAATTTTGGACAATCCATCTTCATATGTTCAGGATTTTTGCACTCATAGCAAATAATAGGCTCTTTCTTGTTATGTTTGTTGTACTCTTTCTTGAAAGGTCTTCTTCCTCTATAATTGTTTTTCTTGAAGTGCTTTTTAAGATTTTTACTAAACATGGCATAGTTTTCATCCTCACTGGAGTTTTCATGTTCTTCTTCATTTGATGAGGCTTTGAATGCAATTCCACTTTTCTTTTTGTTTTCAACATCCTCATGTCCTTTCATGGTGATCTCATGAGTCATAAGGGAACCCATAAGCTCATCTAATCCAAGTGTGGAGAGATCTTTGGCTTCTATAATGGCGGTAACCTTTGCTTCCCAATTCTTTGGTAAACACCTAAGAATTTTTCTTACCAACTCACTGTTAGTATAAGTTTTGCCAAGAGATTTCAAAGATTTTATAATTTCAGTAAATCTAGCAAACATAATTGAAATAGATTCATCAGAGTTCATTTTAAATAATTCATAACTATGAACAAGCATATCAATACGAGATTCCTTTATTTTGTTTGTACCTTCATAAGTTACTTCAAGTTTGTTCCAAATTTCTTTTACCGAATCACAACTTGAAACTCTATTATACTCCTTAGAATCTAATCCACAAATAATGGTGAGTTTGGCTTTAGCATTGGCTTGCAATAATTTGTGATCCCTCTCATCACATTCATCTTCAGTTTTAGGTACACTAATATTGTCTACTAATTTGGTAGGAATTTTTGGACCTTTGGAGACAATAATCCACATAGCATAATCAGCGGCTTGTAGGTATAGGGTCATCTTATCTTTCCAATGACTATAGTTGTTTCCGTCAAATAATAGTGGCCTATTGGTGGCTTGTCTTTCAGTAGTGCTAGTGCTAACTAAGGGTTGGTTTGAGATATCCTAAAAAAGTGAACTTTTTGACTTATTGGTGGGTTTGGGTTGGGTTTGGGTTGGGTTTGATGTGATGTGTTAGAGAGGTGGTGTGATTTAAATAAGATGATGTGACTTAAATAAGATAGTGATTTTTTGACTTTTTGGCTTATTTAGTACATGCCAAACTAGCCCTAAAGTTGTCATGGATCGAAATTCTCAGATGGTTAAATCTAAAACAAGAGTCTAGGCTTTGATACCAATTGTTATCCAAAAGACAACCTGAGAGGGGGGCGAATTAGGTTTTTACAATTAAAATTAATAATACCCTAATAAAAATTATGACTAGCACAATAGATAAATATAATTAATGAAGTAAAAATAATTAAAACAAGTGTCTTAACAACTATGTTAGTTAATGATTTTAGCACAGTAAAAATGTGAAATATAGCTATGGCAATTTAAAATAAAATAAAGAGATAAGGGAGAGAGAGGCAAACAAATTTATAGTGGTTCGGCTTCAACTCTGGTATGTGTGTGCGCGTCTCTCTCTCTCTCTCCATCTATTTCTGATCTCTCTCGCTCTGTCTTTAAATCAACTTTTTTTTGTTCTTTTAGGGCTTAATTGATTGAACAGGTATATCTCTCTCTCTCTCTCTCTCGCTACAACAGGTATCTCTCTCTCTTTCTTTCTCCCTGTTTTCGCCTCACTCTCTCTCCCTCTGCTCTCTTCTCTTTTTTCCGAGCTCCCTCTCCCATCTTCTCGTTTTTCTGACCTCCATCTCCCATCTTCTCTATCTCGCTATCCCCTTTCTCGTCTCTCACTTTCATAATTCATTTTTCCCCAATTTGAACCCTAATTTGTTGGATGCTTCGCTGCCTACGACCTCCTCACTTGGTTTTTCTCTAACCCTATTCAGTATCCTTCAAATAAAGATTTTTTTTGTGTTTATTTTCCTGAATTTTTGAAGATCGCAGCTTCAATTTTTGTACTGTAGCTCAATCTTCAAATCTCGATATTGATTTTTTTTTTTTTAATTACAAGTCAATTGTTTTGCTATTGGGTCTGAAAATTGCTTTGATTTTTCTTTGAATTTTTGACCTTGGAATCCAATGAAACCATTCTAAAATCCCAACTGAGAGAGCTACTTAAGCTCATTTTGAATTATTTTTTATGTTATTTGAATTAGTGTTTGTGGGTATTTGACTGCCTACTGGATATGTTCATAAGAAGTTCAGTCAGCAATATAAAGCTACAATTGGGGCTGATTTTGTCACCAAAGAACTACAATTTGATGACAGGCTTGTCACTCTAAAGTGGGTTCTCAGTTCCATTTCAGTTTTGTTGTTCTGTGCCTGCTTTTATTTAGAGCATGTTTGATCAATATCTCTCTATTTGTTGTGTGATTGTGTGCTTTGCTTTGGTAGATATGGGACACAGTTGGGCAGGAGAGGCTTCGGAGTCTCGGCGTTGCCTTTTATAGAGGGGTAGATCGTTGTATTCTTGTATACGATGTTAATGTCATGAAATCATTTGATACTCTTAACAATTGGCATGAAGAATTTCTCAAACAGGTTAGTTATTCATCTTTATCTCATTGCTGCCAATGTTGAACAATTTGTCATATATCTTTTATTTTTTGGTCTATTTGTCTCAGTGAGCGTGTGTAAGTGTAAATGCATCAATAAACAACTGCTGAGGCCCATTGTTTAAATTGCACATTATGCGTAACTTACAAGATAGTCAATCAATCATTTCAGAATCTTGAAATATATGGAGCTGTTTAGGCTGTCATTTTCTTTTTGTATCGAAGGATTCAATTAGAGGTACTTTGCTCTCAAATACTTGGTTCATTGATTCTTTTTGTCTATAGAAATTTTCACAACTACTAATTTTGAACAAATACGAGGGAGTGTAGTTGTTTCAAGTTTTATGAGGATCACATAACCATAAAATTGTCGATAATATTTTGGTCGTTCTACTGTAGTGGTTGTTTTCTTTATATAGGTTGATTCTTCCTACTTCATATATATTTTACAATGTTGTGGCTGTCGTTGTTATACATGTTCATTTTTTGCTTCATCAAGACTTTTGGGCCCATAGATAACTTGACTTCTTATCAACTCTTTTTCTAGTAAGGGCTAATTGAGCTGTCATTGTTGTGCACCCCCTAAAGGAGACCTTTTCCAAGCCCCCCATGCCTAGCAGTTAAGCAATATGTGTCATCCTATCAAGCAATCCCATTCAAAGGTACCATTTACGATTGAAAACTAAAAGAAGAAACAAATTTAATCACCAAAAGAAAAAACCTTAGACCATGTTTGGACTTGCGAAGCAATGGCAGTACCTTTTAAGGCCTTAAATTCCAAAATATTCCTTTTGATTGCGAAGCAATGGCACTGCACACAAGGTGTTAAAAAAATTCATAAAGCCCGGAACCGGACAAGATTTTAGGAAAGTCAAACCTCACCTCAACAATGTGTGAACTCCATTCTATATATGAATCTTCCTCCAATATACTCTAGAAATTGAATTACTATCATCAAAATGGTTAATCACAATACAGTAACACGCCTACATTTTGTCATAGTTCTTTGAAGAAAAGATTTGTTACCTGCAATGGTAAGTGATAAAAATAGAATTTGACAAGAACAATGAAATAATTAATGGAAAAGAAATACAAAAGCATAAATAAATAGTAGTTGTAGGGCATTACCAAGAACACCACCACCACACTTCAAATCAATAGTGATGTAAGTTAGATTCAGAATTTGAAGATTTTAGACATTGCCTAGGAATATGTCATAACTTTTTCCATTATAAATGAAGCAAAAATGCTAGAGGCCAAGAAACCAACTTTGGAAAAATACAAAGAAAAAATTGTATGGCTTAGCTTTAACGCTTGTATTGTAAGTCCACACTTGAAATAAATTTTTCCGTGTATTTTTTTTTTGTTGGTAATTAGTTTCTTGATTTCTAACATTGTTATGAATGGAGTGGATCCAACTATAAAGAATGTGTTGGTGGGAGTTGAACATCCGACAATTTTTTTTATTATTATTATTTTTTTTTTGATAAGTTCTTAGCTTGGTCACTTCAAATGTTTCAAAGGATTCTGCATGTAAGGCAAAAGAAGCTAGTTTACCTCATCATTGATTGAACCACCAATGAATTTTCATATGACCTTACTCTGATGTTGATTTGTAAGAGCAATCTTTCACAACTTTTTTCTTTGAATTCAAATTTGTAGTTAAAAAAATAAATTAAAAAATATATATTTTCTTGAAACTTTTGGTAAATTAAAAAAATTTCGTCACAGATCACTTTAGTGACGAAAATTTGATATTTGGAGACAAAATCAGTCTGTCACCAAAGGCCTTTTTTGTTGTGGTGACATATTTTGCAGGCTGTCGAACTCTAGTTGGCTGATAAAACAGTTCTTCTGATTGAAAATTCTTTAGGTGGAAGCATCCATCGCAACTACGATTTACTCCTTCAGCATAAGCTGCACATAGTGGGTGAGGTTCAGCTGGCTGTTAACCTTTGCCTTCTAGCACTATCCGGTGTTCGAACAGAGTACTTGAAACGTGTTTTGAGCCATCCACAAGTCAGGTTTATTTATTTTATTTTATTTTTTGTTTTTGAACTGGAGAGAACATTGCTGAATTGAGTTTAATTGACCATTTATAATAAAAAAAAGATACCTGGCATTTTTCAGACTTGTCATTCATGTGTCTGCAACTGTTCATCAATCTGGGGTTTTAAAATTTCTCCTTCCCTGGAGGAGCAATTGCTTGAGGTCATTTCCATCATTTTTCAACTTCGTTATGATTACAAAGTTACTAGGAAGCAATTGCTTCAGGTCATTTCCATCAATTTTCAACTTAGTTTTGATTAAAGAGTTACCACTGCTCATAATTTTGATGTTGGATTGAACTTTAGTTTTGAAGTAAGGTTCAGTCTCTTTGCTAGTGAAATTGAGATGTGAAAATCAAATAAGTTGAAGTAAACTTGAAAATCAACTTCTGTACTAATAAACATAATTTAAACTGTGAATTTGAGCTAGATATCTCTCCTAAAAATGACTAATTCATTACCTTAGAAATTTAAATTTTACAAAGAGGGGGAAGCGTAGAATAATATTGCTGAATATATTTTGGCTGGTCATAACAAGTGGTCCATCAACCTGTTACCTTACTTTTTGGTGGTCATAATTGAGGAATGCTTTCTTTTATTTTTTTAGGACATATTTTATAGTTTTTCAGAATATATTTTATACTATAGGAAAGCTTTCTGTTCTCACTGTATTAACTTTGGGTCAGTTGGTAGCCTCAAATGGACTGAGGGATGCTGGTGCAGTTGCAAGTGCTCGAGCTGCAGAAATTTATGGGCTAGATATACTTGCTGAGAGAATCCAGGTTAGTTTCTTCTTGACCCGTTTCTAAACTTCAAAGTCTCCAATTGCCTGGTTCTTTTAGCCGCATAAGGCATCTTCAACCGTATCACCATGTCAGTAGGAACTTTTTTATGATCACAAAGCTTATTGAGCAAAAAGACTTACGGAATGGGATCAAAGAAGTCAGAACGAATCTGTTTGAAATGCCAAGAAATAGGATAAAATAAATTAAAAGAAAAGAAAGAAAGACAAATTGGTAACATTGTAACTTCTATTTTTTGCTTAAATGGAGATTGAAACATTCAATTCATCTTAGTTAAGCTTCACTTCATCATGCAATACAATCCCTTATCATATTTTATATCGTAATGTACATAACATCAGTTATGAGTGCAGTCAGTTATTTGTGTGATAGTCTTCTTGATGCTAAATACCACTTGGTTGTATAATTATTATGTGGTCCAAGAAATGATACTCAGGTTGCTTGTATTCCATGACCTCTGCAGGATGACTCTGATAACATTACTCGCTATTTGGTACTTGCAAGGGATCCTATCATTCCGAGTACTAATAAGCCCTTTAAGGTAAAATTTTGTTGCCTTGGTTTATTTGCTTAAATGGTTGCCTAAAAAGTTGGCTGAGTTGAATTTTGATGTCCTTTATTCCAGATGAGCATTGTCTTTACTTTGGAAGAAGGTCCTGGAGTGTTGTTTAAAGCCTTGGCAACATTTGCATTGAGGGACATTAATTTGACAAAGGAAATTGCTCGGTTATCCTTTGGTGGAAAAGCCTTAGTATTGAACTCATTTCTTTTTTGATGCAATTTCATATTGAAAGTTGGCCACAGAGAAAGCGCCCATTAAGGGAAGTTAATAACCCAATGGAAGTGCTAAGTGAATACTTATTTCACATTTGATTTGAATAGGCTGGAAAACACATTGAACCTGTATCACTTGCCTTAGAATAAGTACATATCATCTGATCCATACAAGATGATGGGAACATTCCCATAAGTTTGTTGGATGCGTTTGATTTCTTTTGGTTGAAAGCTACATTGCATGGATATTGACATGGGAAGTAGAGTATACACTATAAACACTCAGAATTGCTGGCACATTGAATCCTAAAAAGTTTGAACCTAAACATGCCAAAGTCCCCATATTATACACCATGCTGATGTTTAAAAACAAAGTGAACTAATGTGCTCAATTCAGTTCAATTAACCACACCTGAATTGATTGTGCTAACTGTTTGCTTACAAGTAGAATATTTACATGATTATCTGCGTAAGTAGCGAGTGGGAATGTTGAAACCTGTCCTCAGCTCTGCAAGATGTCAATGATGTGTTCCCGTAGTTTTCAAATATCACTGATCAGTCATGAGTTGTCCAGTAATCATTTCATGTGTCCATTGAAGGTCTTTTGAGCTATTGGGAAGACCATTGTTACTTGAACAAGTATCAGTGATGGTGAAAACAAACCTAAAAGACCATTGTTACTTGAACAAGTATCAGTGATGGTGAAAACAAACCTAAAAAACCATTTTTAAAAGTCAGAGAAGAAACAAAGTAAGAAGATACAAAGTATCATAGAGTGTTCGAGGCAGAAAGGTATCACGGGAAATTTTAAGAGTGGGGAAAGTTCAGATTCTGATGGACAAACTCTTAGTTAGTATATTATGTTTCTATGTTAATTTAGTAAATTTTTTTTCTTCAACTAAGATACTGAAATATGCATGTAAAAGCCCGAGAAACATCACAAACACTGAAATATGCACGTGGCTCACAATCAGAAAACTACTTTGAAATTTGCACTATTCCAAGATGTAGGCATGAAACCAAGTCAAAAAATGAACGTTTCTAACGCTTAAGTTTGAAAATAGGCCATCGAAGGCCAAAATCATGTAACAGCCACGAGACTGCCCAGGTAACACCTCAAACACCTCGGGCGGGACCAAAGTAAGTTGTGGAAACTTACGGAACTAACACGGGACTCTCGGTTCGAAAACTAAGTCCGAAAATGTACTTTTTCACACTTAAGCTTGAAAAATAGGCCATCGGAGGTCAAAATCATGTAACAGCCATGAGACAGCCCAAGTAACACCTCAAACACCTCGGGAGGGACCAATGTGAGTTGTGAAAACTTACGGAATTAGCACGGGACTCCCGTTTTGAAAACTAAGTCCAAAAATACACTTTTTCACACTTAAGCTTCAAAATGGGCCATCGGAGGCCAAAATCGTGCAACAGCCACGAGACGGCCTGGGTAACACCTCAAACACCTCAGGAAAGGACCAATGTGAGTTGTGGAAACTTACGGAACTGGCACGGGACTCCCGGTTTGAAAACTAAGTCAAAAAATGCACTTTTTCACACTTAAGCTTGAAAATAGGCCATCGGAGGCCAAAATCGTGCAAAAGCCATGAGACGGCCCGGGTAAAACCTCAAACACCTCGGGAGGGACCAAAGTGAGTTATGGAAACTTACGGAACTAGCACGAGACTCCCGGTTCGAAAACTAGGTCCGAAAATGCACTTTTTCACACTTAAGCTTGAAAAATGGCCATCGGTGGCCAAAATCGTGTAACAGCCACGAAACTGTCCGAGTAGCACCTCAAACACCTTAGGAGGGACCAATGTAAGTTGTAAAAACTTATGGAACTAGCATGGGGCTCCCGGTTCGAAAACTAGGTTCGAAAATGCACTTTTTCACACTTAAACTTGAAAAATAGGCCATCGGAGGCCAAAATCGTGTAACAGCCACAAGACGGCCTGGGTAACACCTCAAACACTTCGGGAGGGACCAATGTAAGTTGTGGAAACTTACGGAACTAGCACGGGACTCCTGGTTCGAAAACTAAGTCCGAAAATGCACTTTTTCACACTTAAGCTTGAAAAATAGGCCATCGGAGGCTAAAATCGTGTAACAGCCACGAGACGGCCCAGGAAACACCTCAAACACCTCTGGAGGGACCAATGTGAGTTGTGAAAATTTATGGAATTATCACGGGACTCCCAGTTTGAAAACTAAGTCTAAAAATTCATTTTTTCTAACTCTTAAGCTTGAAAATAGGCCATCGGGGGGCCAAAATCGTTAAACAACCCCGAGAAGGCCTGAGGAACACCTCAATCACCTCGGAAGCAACCGTTGTAACTTGTATAAACTTACGGAACTAGCATGGGACTCCCGTTTTGAAAACTAAGTCCAAAAATGAATTTTTCCAACAGTTAAGCTTGTAAATAGGCCATCGGGGGCCAAAATCGTGTAACAGGCGCGGGAACGCCCGCTGAACACCTCAGACACCTCGGAAGGGACCAATGTAAGTTGTGGAAACTTACGGAACTAGCACCGGACTCCCGATTTGAAAACTAAGTCGAAAAATGCATGTTAAATTGTATATTTAATTGATAAGATAATAATTGTCTAACTTGCATTCTTTTTTTTCTTTTTCTTTTTCTTTTTTGTGTTTCATTTTTTTGCAAATTGGAGAATTGATATGGACATGTTTGGTAATTTGGAGAGTAGAAGCTAGCTCATTTTGTGTTTTTGTTCATATTACCTTACATGTATTTTGGTTGCGTTGTAAATTTTATATTTTTGTTAGTATTACAAGACATGTTTGGTTATCCGCACTTGATATTTTATTTTTGTTGATATTAGTAGACATGTTTTTTGTGGATATTAGGAGACGTGTTTGGTAATCCGCATGCGGTTGAAATTATATTTTTGTGGATATTAGTAGACATGTTTTTTTGTGGATATTAGAAGACATGTCTATAATCTGCATGCAGTTTATATTATATTTTTGTGGATAGTGCTGAAATTCAATTGTGATGTTTATGAAAATGAACAGATTTTTGTATTGATTTGTAATAGATATTTTATTGAACAGGTTATTGAATAGGCCATCAGACAGGTTATTGAACAGGTTGCTGAAATGCGCAGGGAATTTTTACTGAAAAAAAAAATTAATATGAAAATAATACCCCCTTTAAAAAAATTTAATTTTTATTAGCGACAAAATGAAAAATGTCGCTATTAGTTTTCAAAAAACATGACGAATAACTGTCACATTTGTTGAATATTTCGTCGCTAAATTGAAATATTTGGTGACAAAATGTTTTTTGTCATTGAATAATTTTCTTTTCTGCTGATTTTAGTGACGAATTTTTTTGTCACCTTAATCCATATCATTGGTGAGGAAACCTTTCGTCACTAAAATATATTTGGTGACGAAATATTTCGTCGCCAAAAACAATTAAAATAAAATATTAGTTAGTTTTGGTGACGAAATTGATGTTTCAGAGGACGAAAAATTCAATATTTGGAGACGAAATATTTCGTCGCCAAAATTGAAAAATAGGCGACGAAACTGTTTTTCGTCACCAAGTACTTTTAGCGACAACATATAGGCCACGAATGTGGTGACAAATTTTTTTTGTTGCAGATCATTTTAGTGACGAAAATTTGATGTTTGGAGACAAAATCAGTCTGTCACCAAAGCCCTTTTTTGTTGTAGTGCTTGCAAATCTTAGGTGATTCACAATTAACCTCAAGATTTCAAGAACACAGTGTTTGTAACATTTTTACAAGATGAAATGGTATTTTTGCTTTCAAAGAAAGCTTACAATAAATATCTCTCAAAGATAGATATATAAAATAAAGCTTTGATTTTTCTGTAAATCTCACACAGGAAAGATGGGCTTAAAGCTATAAGGCTCAGTATATAATTTCTGAGAATAGATGTGAGTGATTATAATCAAAGAATATTTTCAGGTTTTTGTAACTTATTCACATTAGAGGTTTTGGTATATATAATGAAAATTATAACTATTTATAACAGTTGTAGTCATTTGAATTTATAGTCGTTTATAGCCGTCGTACTTCCATCATTACAAATTTGAATATCTTCCACTTGAACCTTTTGAACCTTTTGGCCTTTTGAACCTTTATAACCGTTTATAGCCATTGTACTTCCATCATTACTAATTTGAATATCTTCCACTTGAACCTTTTGGCCTGCTACTGTGTTAGGCTGTTTGAACCTTTGTTTTGGGCTGTTTGAACACCTAATTTAATCAAATATTAAATACATTCTAATAACATTTAGGATAAAGGTTTAGGTGAGAAATAATGAGACAAAATAAATTTTGATTCTATTTTTCTCTTTCAAATAAATCATCAAAATAAATTTTGATTAAAATATAATTAAATAAATTATCAAAATAAATTTTGGATTCTATTTTTCTCTTTCAAATAAATTAAAACATAATTAAATAAATCATCAAAATAAATAAGTCTAACATTGTTGCTCTTGGTGGAAATTTTCGACAAATCTTACCAGTTATAACCAAAGGAGTCCGTAAGCAAATTGTGAATGCATCATTAAGACACTCTTTTTTATGGAAGGATATACATGTTCTGTCTTTAAATTTGAACATGCGCTTGAATCATGCAAATCTTGGAAATGCTAATTTTGCAAAATTCTTCATGGAGGTAATATTTCTTTAAACTTTTTCTCTAATATATGCTGCTTTTAAATTGACGAAATACATTTATGTTTATGTACTTTAATTGATTTTACTTACTATTTTATTTATAATTTTTATAAATAGATTGGGACAAATCCTCAAGAAATTGTTAAACTTCCATCAACAATACACAAATGCCAAGATCTACAAGACATAATCTCAATAGTTTATCCGCAACTGGATGTGGCAATGACATCGATTGCAACATGTTTAACTGAACGTACAATTCTTTATGCACAGAATGATGATGTCGATGCTATCAATACTGCTGCATTGAATATTTTTCCTGGTAACACATATACTTATTTGGCAGCAAACAAGATGTCTGAAGATGATGAAATTGATCGTACTCTAATAAATAGGTATCTTAATGAGTATTTAAATTCATTAGTTCCTCCTGGGCTATCAGCTTTTAAGGTAGAGTTAAAAGTGGGTTATCCTATAATGTTGTTAAGAAATATTGCACCAAAAGATGGACTGTGCAGTGGCACAAGATTGATAGTTTCTAGATGCAATACTCGCATAATAGAAGCTCAAAGTTTAACTGAAGAAAAATTTGGCAATTTGGTATTCATACCAAGGATATCCTTGACACCATCTTCTTCAAAAATGTCTTTCCAAATGACAAGACGTCAATTTCCAGTTCGATTGTCATATGCCCTGACCATTAATAAATCTCAAGGGCAATCTGTGAAATTTGTTGGAGTTGATTTGCGCACACCAGTGTTTAGTCATGGGCAATTGTACGTGGCCTTATCTAGATGCACATCTTTTGATCGTATAAGTGTCCTCCTTCCCAATAATGAGCTAGATTCTACTACAAACATTGTTTATCCTGAAATTTTGTTATAGTGTTACTTATGAATCAAATTACTTTTGTCAAAAGGTAAAATTTATTTATTGATAAATTTGCTTCTATTGATTACAAATTATTATTTATAAAATATTTTGTTATATATGTCGACTTTTGTAGGATTGGATTAAAAAATATATGGAGCTGAAAAAGATAAATACAGTTAGATTGCTTCGATGGGGATGTAACAAGGTAATTTCAATTTGAAAGTGTTTTGATATATATATAGATTTTCTTTTACTAATATACTAGCTTTTTATTTTCATAAATTAGTAGATTGTCATGCATGCTCCTCACTGGAGATACATATAAGTTGATACAAAGACTTTTTGAAAAGTGATGAGGCGCTTCTAGAAATTATAAGAAAAAACAAGTTTGAAGATCATATTTATTTTTGTGAAAAGCGTACATATGCTAGTTACGATCCAAATTTTGTAAAGCCTTACTTACAATAGTTTTGTAAAGCCTTTTATCTATGTGAAATTTATGACTAAGTTTAGATATATGTTAGATAATATTTATTTGAATTATTGGCTTATGCAATGAGTTTGTTTTTGTAAATGTAACACACTAGGTGATATAGGCTTTTTTGTTTTTTGTTTTTTGTTTTTTCTCCCTAATATGCTCCTGAATTATGTTAAAGAAAACTAATCATATTTTTATTTGGTTAAATTTGAATTTTTGCTTCCTAATATTGGTTGATGTGCTTAATTTGTTGTTTTGCATTTTCTTTGTATTACACAACATTGGCCAGTGTGCTTAATTTATTATTTGACATTTTCTTGGTATTGCAGAGCATTGGCTGGTTTGCTTAATTTGTTGTTTATTTTTTTCTATTGCAGAGCATTGACTAGTGTATTTTGTCTGATTTGTATTGTTTGTGGGACTTACATTTTGTTGTTTGTTTAAAATCATATACTTTTGTCGTACTTGAATTTTACGTAGCATTTACGTGTTTACTTTTCACTATTTTGCTTACCTATAAATTTGGAAAATTTATATTTAGATTGATGTATTTACCATTTCATTTATTTAATTTTCACTATTTCATTTATTTAATTTTTTGCACAATAAACTAACTACCCAACCATAAAAATTGGTAGCTTTCAACCATTAGATTAAAATTGATGCAAAACTATAACCATGAGATCTCTCTTCTTTATTACAACCAAAGCTCACTATCTAAAAAAATGTGGTATATAGAAATTTATTTGGGTACTGTAATTAGCCAGGGTAATAAAGTACTTATTTTCTGTTGCGAATTGCAGGTGGGTTAAATAAACAAAAAAACTACAATAGTAAATATTTGGTGATATGATCTTTGTTTGCATTTATGTCATCACTATTTTCACATTTTTTTGATAAATTGTAGCAATTTCCATCACATTGCCTCCACCACTACTAATCATGGACCATACCATTTTTTGCCATTTAAATTTCTATTTGACAAACAAAAATGCAACTATTTTTGCATTGAGAATTTGAGTTCAAATGCTATATCAATCACAATGACATTATTGAAACTTGCTTATTGTTAAAAATAAAAATTTATAGCAAAACTTATTGTTAAATTCAATTGGACAGTTTTTATATCGTTAAGTTTGCAGTACAGATAAGGAGAGTCTAATTTTTCTTATTAAGTTACATCTCTCTAAATTTTATAATTTTGCAAAATATTTAAATTGAGTGGATCTGAAAAGTGAAAAATATTTTGATTAAAATATTAAAAAGTTCACTAAAAATTTAAAAACTATTTTTGGAAACTCCAAAACTAAGTAAGTTTTGAATTTTAAATTTGTAAAAATTATTTTCATTCGGCACGAGCATACCCTAGTTCACTTATAACTAGGGGCAGAACTATAAATTTTATCTGGAGGGTCCAACATGTATATGCATAAAAAATATTGAGTTAGTTTAAGGTTTAAGATTTAAGTACATTACTAATTGAACATAATTTCTTACATAAGCATTGTCAAAGAAGTATTTCATGAGAGAATTAAATAAATCTAACAAATATTTTTTTTTTGTTTTTAAAAATTTTGAACTACTAGAATTAAACCACTATTTTAAGCTATTTTATTGAATGATATAATTAAGTAAAGAAGAAGTGAAAAACGCTTAAGACTCTTAAAACATAACTTCAAATTTACACTCAATGACGTTGAATATTACATGCTAGTTGATTTATTTAGAAATTAATCAATTAAAGACCTAACTCATGTCATATTATTGTGGATAAATTTAGGAATAAATTTCAGGTTCTCTAACATTACTCATAAAAAAGTGTACACACCATTTTTTTTCTTAAATTTAAAAAAAAAAAGTGACATATACCTCTTATATTAATAAACTTGACTCGATAAAATTGATGTTGTTATTTAAAATGTAAAATAATTAGAGATCATTTTTATTATAAATTGTGAAATATTAACGAAATAAAAAAATAAAAAAATAATTTTATAAAATCAATAAATTATCCCATTACATATTTTACAAATATTTATAAATATAAACTTAATAATAACTTATAACAAAATCGAAGGGAGCCAGGGCCCTCTCAACCTCTATACAGTTTTGTCATGTTTCTAACACGTTTTCCACTTATTTTGTTTTTGTAAAACAAGTATAACGCAGCGGGTAAAAATATCAGATCATACCTTAAGTGATAGAGCCTGAAGCGAAGAATTTTGTGAGTAAATCACGTGCTTCAAAAATGCGAACAACGAACTCTCAGCAGTGGAGTGATACCACAATATAAGTATCACCCACACAAGTCACAGTGCAAAGGCTGGATCTGACATATACCTCTTATATTAATAAACTTGACTCGATAAAATTGATGTTGTTATTTAAAATGTAAAATAATTAGAGATCATTTTTATTATAAATTGTGAAATATTAACGAAATAAAAAAATAAAAAAATAATTTTATAAAATCAATAAATTATCCCATTACATATTTTACAAATATTTATAAATATAAAATTAATAATAACTTATAACAAAATCGAAGGGAGCTAGGGCCCTCTCAACCTCTATACAGTTTTGTCATGTTTCTAACACGTTTGCCACTTATTTTGTTTTTGTAAAACAAGTATAACGCAGCGGGTAAAAATATCATATCATACCTTAAGTGATAGAGCCTGAAACGAAGAATTTTGTGAGTAAATCAGGTGCTTCAAAAATGCGAACAACGAACTTTCAACAGTGGAGTGATACCATAATATAAGTATCACCCACATAAGTCACAGTGCAAAGGCTGGATCGTTCTCATAATGGGAGAGAGTTCGAGAGAGAGTTTATAAAAAATGTTATGGGTAAAAACCACATAACGTATCTGATATCAATATATTATTCAAATATATAATCAGATATATAACCATATATATCAATCTATCCATATCAGTTGATATGATAGATATAGATATCAATAGTGGGTTATCCAAATAGGTTTTGAATTCAAATTCAAAACTTACATAGATAAGGGTCAAAGGTCATGCCACATGGGCGCCCAATTTTTAATAGTTCTATTTTTTTAAGTTACCTCATTTTAAACTGTCTTTTTTATCATATGGTCACAATTGGAGAGATACATCATGCGATGAAAATAAAATTTAAAATAAATTATATTTATTATTAATAAATTATTTTATAAATTTGAAATAATTATCTTAACAAAAATTAGTATAATTTACCTTCAAACTTAAGATAATTAATGAAAGTTTTGGGCAACTTAGATGGAAAATAATAATTTTTCTCCAATTTTGTATCATCAATGTGGTGGACCAATTATTTGATGTACAAAATGCCCTACTTTTTTTTTTTTTTGAACAAGGGAAAAAGGAAGCTCTATGGTGTCATCACAGCCTCCGCGGGACCTGGCCCCGGGGTAGCCGGTTGCCAGCCAGATTTAACCCAATCCATAGAAAGGGACCCACCACCAAGGCACCAATGGAGCTCAACTACACACCACAGCTTAAGGACAAGTGTCGAGCGGAGTACATGGCAAGCTCACAGCAGAGATCACATTGTCCCCCCAAGGAATCGACCATGGCTCAACGCTGAGGAATGAGTTGCATTCTCCACCAGGCCACCAACCCTGGTGGTTACAAAATGCCCTACTTATGGAACCCTTTTAACACAAGGCTGTCCTGTTAAATGAATAAATAATAATTATAACTTACTCGACTCCATATAAGGTTTTTGAGTGAATTAAAAGTTAACAAATGCATTCACTTTAGTAATGAACTTAATTTTAATTTGTCCCACATTTAATTTTTGAGATACTTTTTGTTAATAGGTAACCTTGTTTGGTTTTGATTAATTTTTTTAAAATTAAATTTTTTATTTTTCATATTTTTGAGTTTTTAGTAAAAAAATTTAATATTTTAACCAAATTTGTTACTTTTTAGATATACATAACCTAAATGTACCTAAAAAGTAAAATATTTATAAAAAAAAATTTTAAATCAATAAATACACAAGAATATGAAAATGTACTGAACTTTTATATTTTTGATATGCATATGATTTCTCTTAAGTCGTCATCTTAACTTGATAGAATATTTGGGCTTGGTAGGCCTATTTTAGGACCAATTTTGGTCGTTCAAACCGTTCGCTTTTTAAAACTCGTTAAGTAAAATATTTATGCAAAAAATAAGATTATTCAACATCGATGTTTGAATAATATTTATTTAAAAAAAAAATGAACGACAATTATAATTTTAAGAATAACTATCTACTTTTTGTAATACAAATTTGATTCAAATATATAGTTATCGATATCTGATCATCTTAATTTTTGTATAAATATTTTACTCGATGAGTCTTACAAAGTGAATGATTCAGATCACCAAAATTGATTTCAAAATGAATCTATTAGGCTCAAACACTCTCTCAAGTTGAGATGACCAACTTAAGACAAGTGTTGAGAGAAGTCAAACCTTTTTTAGAAGTATTTATTGAGTTTGTTAAAAGTTTTTTTCATAGATATTTTATTTTTGAAGTATATTTACATTAATGTCTCATTTGGCAACTTTTAGTTTTAGCTAAAAAGTCAAAAAAATCACTATAAGTTATCACATCGCTCTTTTTATTTTTCTGAATATCTTTTCGTAAAAAAAGTTAAAAAATTACTAAAATAAATTGTTTCCAAACAAAGCCTAAGTGTATCTAATTTTTTTTTTTTTTATAAAAAAAAAATCTTATAACAGCATAAAAAAAAAAACTCAACAATGATAAAGAGCTCTAAAAATGATCTCTAAAACCAGCTCTAATGAGCTGACAGTGAAGAGAGAAGAAAAAAAAAAAGAAGTTAAAATATCACATTAATAGGTGAAACCCACCTAGAGAAGAACTCTAACTATACTCTCTATTTTTCACTAGCTAAAGTACGAAAAAAGGATACTCTTTATTTTATCTAATTACTTAAGCTATTGTGTTCTCCAATCGTACTATTTATTTTAGCTAATCATTCAAATTAACTTAATTAATTTTTAAAACAAAAAATAGTAATTGCTGATATTTTACTAATATAAATTTGCAATAATAATAAATTTCCTCATACAAACATACAAAACCTGTAGTAGAATGAGGAGAAAAAAAAATACAAAATACGAAATAAGTTATTCCGTAATTCATCAAACATAATTAAAAAAATATATAAAATTGCTACATACACATATACATATATAAAATATATAAAATCTCAAATCCAAGACATAAATATACAAAAAATCAATATATGCATACATATTTATTTAGAAAGCCTTTGAGGCTCTTCAATTGTAGTCACAAAAAAAATAGAATGATAAAGTAACTAGCTCAATAGTCAACCTATTAAAACCCAAAATTAGAGTTACATTGATTAAAATACTTAATAAGTCTTTTTTAACTATCACTTTAGAGATACTTAGAGTTCCTAATTTATAACTCTTAAACATTTTTTAAAAAAATTTAAGAGTAAACCAAACAAAATGATTGCCGTTATATTTCAGGTCACAACCAATGAAAACCAGTGTTGAGCAGGCCGGGAGGGATGTTTTGTCCTAATAATGTTGTCTCATTATTATGTGGCACCGGAACATGTCAATGCAGAGGGCCCACTCATATGTTATCAAATGTCATTTAAATGGTTACATCGGCTCCACCATGTTGGGATTATGAGTATCATGATTTTCTGATGGTAATGACGTGTCCCCATTAAAACGAGAAATAATTCTTTGTAGACACGTGTCGATATTAATGAACCTCAATATATATTTTAATGTTTAGAGGTTATTTAGGATTGGTTTGGCAAGGGTTCGTTGGGCTTTTTTGACTCAATGAGTCATAAAAGACAGAATAGGTTCATGAGCCATAATAGATAAAATATCACATCTAACCCCATAATCATTACACTCTTATCTCACAAACTAAGCTTTTGAGCCCAAGCTCATATAGTCAAAAAAGTCAAAAAACTAAAAAGTCAACCCACTTCTCAAACGGAGGCTTAGGATGATTTGAATATATTTTTTGACTTTTTATAAAATATGAATTAAGTTTGAATTGTTATATTAGAGAAGTGATATAATTTAAATAAAATAATATGATTTAAATAAAATAATAATTTTTTAACTTTTTCAAACATGTCAAATCAATCCATAGTCTAATATTAAATGCCACGAAAAATTACTGGATAGACTAACGATGGATTGCAATATTCGTACATAGTTAGTTAATATGTTTTAAATGTTAAAATATTTGTTACGTCTTGAAACGTCATATTTTATGATTTGAGATAGTAGTGTTTTAGAAAGTTGATAATAAATTAATTTTTTTAATTTTTTTGTGATTTTTTAATTTTTTTTGTGTAAAAAAATAAAAAAATGATTTGACTTTAAAAAAGTCAAAAAAAACTACTCTCCCCATCTTAAAATAATAGTTGTTTTTGAAAAATTTAACTTTTTTTGATAGTGTAATTATTGCACTTTAAAAAAATTATGGCCTTACTTGGTTTGTGTTTCTTAAAAAATTTTAGAAAAAATTCTCTACAAATAAATTTTCAAAAGTAATTAAACCAAACAAATTTTTTCAAAAAAAATTTCCAAAACTTGTTTGGTTTACAAATTTTCCAAACAAATCTCTCTCTCATACCCATCAAATCAATCACTTTTTTCAAAACTCTCTCTTAAAATAATTTTTCAAAATATCTTTTGAAAAAAAACTAAACCAAACATATTTCTCTACAAATTACTTTTTGATAATACATTTTTTGGAGAATATCAATGTCATAATTGTACTTTTTATGTTAACAAATTTAAAAGAATGACAAAATAAAAAATTTATATTATTTAAAAAATTTATATTATTTTTGTACTTAATTTTTAAAAACAGACTAATATTTGAAAATAATAAAAAAATAGAATTTGGAACGGAGGGAGTAACTTTTTACTATATTGTCAAAGCTCTCCATAATTTTATTGGTGCAAAAGCAATAACTTTTTTGTAATTAAAAAAAAAAGAAAAAAGAAGAAGAAGATACTTTGAGTTGTCATCATGACACCTGTGAACCCAAATCCTGATGTAACCGATTGCTAACAATTTATAAGAAAAGATCCACTGCCAAAACACCAACAGGGCTCAACAAATTAAGAACACCAATTAAGTTTTTGATCAAAACAAATTAGGATGGAAAACAAATTAGGATGGAAGAGGAGACATAGTGTCATTTATTCATTTTGTATGCCACATAGACTATCCAGATGACGGCACAGCACGTAATTTTCAACATCGCATTTTTTTTTCCCAAAATTGAAGGTAAATTTATTTTAGGAGTACATTAAAAAAAATTTCAAAGATTGAGAGTCAAAATGGAAAAGAGAGGCGGTCTTTGGCGTGAAATTCTAATTATGATTTCACATTTATATTTGAGTGTGCCGTTTGAATATAACTTTTAAAAATTAATTTTACATTTACTTTTAAAAACTCGCTCCAAACGGTGTTCTGAATTTTAAAATTTGACTTACCCAGTCGTCTGACGTCCGATCGGTTTGACCAGAATAGTGCTATTTTTATTTATTTATTTTTTGGACAATTGACACCTGTTATTTTTATATTTTAAATAAAAAATATTTTTGAAATTTTTTTAAATTTTTTATAACTTTGAATAAAATTTTAAGTTGTATGTTTGATAATGAGTTGTAAGTTTTTTAATCAAATATCATATGTCATATCAAAAATTCCAAATCCAATTCAAAATTCTTTTCAAAACTTATAACCAAACAAATTTTCCACACTCAAATCATAATTCCAAAACTCAAAAACTTAAAAAATAACTCTATTATCAAATCATAATTTAAAACTCTACCAAATGCCACCAAAATATTTGAAGGGTCAAACTGATAAAATTATGAAACTTAAAAGGGCCAAGTGTAACATGGAAATCAAACATATATATTTACAAGGTTCTGTTGAAAGTCTTATAACATAGATCATATAACAAAAAAATGTTTTCAAGGACTATAGAATGAGCAACAATGCAATTCCTCCATGTAGATAAGAAAAAAAAAATACAAGGTACAAAAATATTTTACCTTCCCATGCCGTGTCCTGAGCAGAAAATAATCATCTCCATTTCGACCTTTGGGCGTCGCCACCCACCACATCCTTTGATGCAACCGGAACTTTACTAGTAACAGCGGCCTCGGAACGGAGAGGAGCTGTCTCTTTGATTGTGCGCGGTTCCTGCAAAATATGAAGCAATTTTCACTGAATTGAGATAGACAAATGCAGAAGACAACAAGAATTGAAAGGATATAACCCTCAAAACAAAACCGATTTCACTCTAATTTACCATGCCGAATTATCAAATGGATCAGAAATGAGAATTGATGTTTTGAGTGTTTCATTATAAAGTAGACACGGTGGAAAATAGTGTGGAATTACTATTTTACCAACCCTACAATCTTAGTTTTTAATCAAGGAATCAATTGCTTGCTTCGTCAAACCCGGAATATTAAGCATCAGCACACACCAAATACCTCTTTCCAACTACTCTGACATAGAGATGTAAACTAATAGTCACTGACAATTATTTTCCTTTTTACTCTTTTTTAAGTTCAAAATTGAAACTATATAGCTTATCAAACTACCATTTAGAACACTACTGCACAAACACATCCATGACCAGGTGTGGAAAAGGGCTTACAGATCGGAAAGGAAACTCATCTGCCTCCAGCATATGTACAATTTGCCCCATCTTTGGCCGCTTATTAGCATCCAAATCTATACAGCGAAGGCAAACCAACAATACCCGCTTCAAAGCTCTTGGAGAGGGTTGTACTTGAATCAGGGGGTCCACAACCTCCTCCCCACGTCGACTTGCTACCATTCCTTTAAACCAATCAACCAAGTTCATCTGATCCAATTCAAAAAGAGAAACTACAAAGATGTTATGATCAATACCAAAAAGAAGAGATAGACAAACAAACAAGAGAAACAAAAACAATTTTTTCACCTCTCCAGGTGCTCTCGAATAATCAACTGGACTGCTTCCTGTAATTATTTCCATGAGCAGAACTCCAAAGCTATATACATCACTCCCCTCGTTGAGCATACCTGTATTGGCATACTCTGGAGAGACATATCTGCAACAGAAAAATGAGAATAACCTAATAATATTATAGGAACTTTAACCAGCTACTTAATTGACCTTATAGAGGAATTCCAGAAAAAAACAGACCCAAATGTTCCCATCACTCGCGTAGTGACATAGCTTTTCTCGGGTCCCAAGAGCTTGGCCAGTCCAAAATCTGATACTTTTGCATTCCATTTTCTGTCCAGAAGAATGTTACTGGATTTTACGTCACGGTGCACAACTTTGGGTTCTAATCCTTCATGCAAATAGGCTAGTCTGTGACAGAAGCAAGGCATATAACAGTTCAGCCAAGAGAAAACAGAAATGAAGAAAACAGAAAAGAAAAAGAAAAAAAACCCTACTGTTTTGAAACAGAAACCAGTCATACAACAGTTCAGGCAAGACTACAAAACAGAAGGCAAGACAAAAATTACTTGAAAGATGGGCCACAGATAAGATAGGTAAATGACAAGAAAAGTGAAACCATTTCAAATTCCATGGAATATAACCAATAGAAGATATTTTCAAATAATTAAAAATTTTGAATACCTTGTGAGAAAAAAAAAACAACAAAACAAAACAAACACAAATAGAAATTTATAATGGTTATAACAAATTAATTAATTTGGGCCAGAAACTGGTAATTTTGGCCAGTACATTAGAAATTATAAAGAATTAATCTTATTCCTTACTCTCTGCTTTCTTTAAGCAGTATTGTATGGTTTTATTGCTCATCTTCAAAATGTGGGGTCTCAATTGCTATCAATAACAGTGGCAAACTCGTACAGGCCGGTGGAGCTTTGTTGAATTACAGAGTCAGTAAAATTATGCCGCAATCACTTTTTAAGGCAAAAGTAAATTCAAATATTTCTCATCTGTAGTTACAATTTATGATTTTAGAAGTGAAAAATCAAAGTCCAGTTTTGACTGATCATTCTCAAGTAACATCAATTAGGAGCTAGGACACCCATGAAATGAAAAATAAAGCTAGAATATCTCACCCTTTTGCGGTCCCAACTGCAATCCTCATTCTAATATCCCAGGTTAGAGGACTAACAGGCCCTACATCACCATGTAACCATTGCTCCAAATTGCCATTGTCTATGTACTCATACACGAGCAATCTGATTGGGCAGTAGAAGTTGCAACAGTCATTTTAGGGGGCAATAATAAGGAATTCTTTTATGCATTTTTTTAAAAATTTATATAAATATTCTTCTATGCATATTCAGTAAGACAATGTGATAAGGAAGCCACAAGGCTAATGAAAATTACCTTCTAGCACCTTCTGCACAAAACCCAACTAGACCCACCAGATTCTTATGCCTTACTTTTCCAATTGCTTCTACTTCCACCTTGAACTCCTTCTCTGCCTGCCCCCTTTATACAAGACGATCATAAAATGTGAATAACACATCCAGAAACTTATGATTAGTAGTAAAATATTGACGGTTAAGACATTGTTGAGACTTCACACATAGGGAAGAAAATTTTTATTACACAATCTTGAAGCATAGTTTTGAAGTTATAAAGCTTCATCATATCATATAACAAAACACATTTCCGAATCTTCTAAGTGTTGTCCAGTAACTCATTAAGTTTCTAAAAATTTGCACATCTAAAAATTCTAAAATGTGGAAAAATATATTAGCAATCCCACATTTCAATCATACTTCCTAGAAGGTTGCCCATTAGTAAAAGTTCACAACAACTTTCCTGGTTTCAGGAAAAACGAATTTACTATTGGTCACATGAACATGTAGAAGAGGTGTCTCTCAATAGCACAATGGTTAGAAATGAAATGCAGAAACAACCAATAATTTTTTTCTCATTATGATGTGGCCTGAGCATTATTATTTATTTATTAAATGTCTAGTATGATTTATATTTTATACGATAAATTTTGAATGAATATTACTATCTGTTCATTATGTTTCTTCTCATTGATGGCATACTTCTATTATTGAAATAGCTTGAATATACTTGCACAAAGACACAATTTTGTATTTATTGATAAAATTACAGGTTTGATATGCATTAGAAATTTCAATAGTGCTCATATACATTAGATTTTTGGTAGAATGCAATTTTAATGGTGTTCATATAAATTGTCTTTTGGTTGTAGCATTGTTCCTGTTAGTCTTTGTTTTTTTTCTTTTCTTTTGTTTTTTTTTTTACAAGTCTTACTTTGAGATATGGTAGGAAATGTTTTTTAATGGTACTGCTGTGGATGATAGTATGAGTGCTCCAATCAAAATCTAATTTTTATTTTGTTTTACAAAATCCAAAATATAATATGTAACTGGTTTGAAAATCGAAAATATTGTTTTGAAATGAAAACTCTACCATACTAGACATAATTTCAATTCTTTTGTTTTTATTTATAGTATTTTAATTTAAGATTAAAATTTAATTGTTTTCATTAATTCTTTAATTTCTTAAATTGCAAGAATCTATTAAATTTAATACTATATTTTGTTTATGATTTTAGTGGATAAATAATAAAATAAAAAATAAAGTTTAAGATGGTTAAAATGTATATTTTGATAGATATTTATAGTGTCCCACTAGTAAGGTAATGCAAATTTGCCATTATATTAACAATACATGTTAATTTTATTTTTATTTTATGTTATGAAAAATAAAATCAATCATTTTAAACATAATACAACTAAATTTATTTTGGGTGGAGTGAGGGGAAATTAATTAATTTTATGTATATTATAAAAGCATAATAGGTATTAAGTTATTTGTGCATAAAACTCGTAGTTTTTTTTTTTAATTATAATTTTACACAAATTTTAAATTTACAAATAACACTCTATTCATTTTGGAATTTTCAAAAATAGTTTTCTGAGTTTTTAATTCGTAATTTTATATTTTTAGTGATTTTTTAAAATATTGAAAATGTTTTTATTTTTTATATCTACTTAATCTTGATATACTTAAAAGGTATAAAATTTGGGAAAAATTAGTCTAGGGTTCCTCCCTCACTTTTCGTAATGGAAGAGATCCACAACATTATTTTTTAATGTCTAAGGTCCCTAAACATATATCAGAGGAAATTTGTCTTTGAATAGGTCGATTTTTTACTCTTTAGTTGCTGCCTTGGGTTCAGTTGCCATTCTCAATCAATCTCTTACAAAACCTTGCCTGCAAGTGATAAACAAATTGATATAGAACCTGAGATAGATTTAGGCAAACAAAGCATAGTCCGATCACAAGGTAGAGTCTTAGCCCGAGAAATGGCGTCTTGGAGTTGAGACTGTGGAACAGAGAGGTGTCGGAGCTGTGATGATCGTCGGAAACCACCATTGTTTCCGGCTAGATGAGGGAGAGAGAGAGAAAGAGGGAGAGAGAGAAGACTATGAAATCGCCATTGGAGAGAGAGAGGGAATTGGGAGAAGAGAGAGTGTTGAGTGATTGAGAAGGTGAGAGTGCTAAAATATTGGAGAATTTGGAAAAAGCAAATATGCATTTATTTTTTTATTTTTTCTTGTTCAACGGATAGAAAATAAAAAGGGAAGAGAGGACTTGTGCTTTTAATTGGGTCCGAGTTTTAAAGATATTACGAGAAGGCCACCGTGAATTTGGTCACGCATTTTGCCTGAACAGAATATAACATAATAATTCATCTAAAAAATAAAAAATGAATTACTTCTCTCAAAATTGTACTTTTAATTGGTTTGATATTTATTCACTCATTTTAAAAGTATGTAAATAAAATCAAAATCTTAAAAATATTTGAATACTTTTAGTTGTTTTAATATTTGTTCACATACTTTAAAAGTTTGTGAATAAAATCAGAGTTCAATATATTTAATGTGAGATTCTGAATTTTTGAAGTATTAATATTTTAGTAGGAGATATTGGTTACAGTTTGGTGGTGAGATTTTTGGATGATAACCTAACTTATTTCCTTATCTTATCTCTTTTTATCTCTATCTCATTAGTATTCATCTTCTTGTGAAATAGATTTTCGTTTGGCAAGGAGGTTTGGGGCTATTTTAGCGACAAAAAACAAAATAGGCTATTTTAGCCACAACAAACAAAGCATCACATCCAACCCATAATCATTACACTATTCTCTCGCAAAAAAGGCCAAAAAAGTCAAAAAGTCCTTCCCAAACCAAACTTTTTAGCCCATGCTAAAAAAACTAAAAAAATTTAAAAAAAAAATTAAAAGTCAATCCACTTTCCAAACGAAGGCTTACTTTTCTTCCTTAGGCTTCATTTGGGAAGAAGGATTGGGGCTATTTTAGGCACAAAAAGACAAAATAAACTTTTTAGTCTAATCAGACAAAATATTACATCCAACCAATAATTATTATATTCTTTCTCTCACAAAAAGTTTAAAAAGTCAAAAAATTCTTTCCAAACGAGACTTTTTAGCCCCAGGCTAAAATAGCTAAAAAGTCAAAAAGCCAACTCACTTCCCAAACGAACCCTTAGTAAGCAAAATCATTTTTATTTTACTTTCTCTCCAAGTTACTTTCTTTACAAGGAAAGTTCCTTTTCTTTTTCCCCAAGTACACCTCTTTTTTGCCCACCAAGTAAACTTTTATTTTATTATTTTTTTTCTTTCTTTTGCCCCAAGTATCCTTGCCTTATAAATTGTGCCTTTCATATCCTTTAATTCCATCTCTTCAAAGCTCTGTCTTTCTTCTCTACTTTCTACTCTCTCTCTCTATTTGTGATTGTAGGTCACAAGTCAAGGACCGACCAACCATCTCTGGAAGCCCACTGTGAGTAACATTCTTGTAAAGATATGTTTGTATAAATTATGTTCAAATCATTATATGACAAAGATATGATTTACTAAACTGTTATTTTGCTATGTGAACGAATGTCATGTTTGCGAATCTACCATGACATCCACAGATAATCCCAAGTCATGGGGGACGACATGTAAATGCGAGTCCATGACATATACATAATTATGAGATCTCGTTGGCCATTTCATTGTGGTGATATGTGTTTAATCGGTATCCAGAACCGATTACTCTAGTCAAAATACGATATGATATGTTCTGTGGGATGTACCAATATTATATTATGATATACGCCTGATATGACCAATATGTATGATTTGTTTTTTGTATATGATATAACTTGGAATTCGTTCACTAACCACTTTACGTTAATGTTATTCATGAGCTTTAACTCACTGTTTTGTGTATATATATATATATATATATAGGTAAGCGTCATGGAGAACCAGCTTAGGGAGAGAGTCGAGTCACCCTTTAAAGCCTTACGAGTTTTGGTGCCTCCGAGTTGAGGCTAGGTCGAGAAGACCGTTGTATAGTCTTGATCTTATTGCCGAACTTTTGTTTATATATATAAATCCATGAATGATGTTTTTGTATGTATGTATCGTACAGTGGGTAAATTAACGTTTATATACATCTGAATTTGTGCATATAGATGCATAGCTCAATGGATTATTTTTTGTCTTTATATTATAAGCTTCTGCTAGCCCCACTTATTTTGATTGGTACAGGAAGGCCTTTGGTAATCACGGATTACTGGTCGATTACTTTACCGACCCTTACTGGGCGGGGTTTGGGTTATGACAGAATGGTATTAGAGCACGAGTTAATTTACCCACACACGTGTCCAATTGAGCTATAGGATGACTTTAAAAAAAAATAAAAAAATAGGAGCATTGCATTAAGATTTGTGAGTGTGTGTGTATTCTATGAGCACATATTTGAAATGAAATGAGAATGTAAATTATGAGAACTATTGCCTATGTTGATTATTGCCTCTGTTTATAATTAGACCAATGGAAAGAATGAGCAATGCAAATGAGTCTGAATATTCTGATGCAAGAATTGATCGATTAGAAAGAATGGTAGGAATTTTAACTGAACTAGTGAGACAACAACAAAAGCAAAGACAACAAACTTTACCTCCTCCACCACTAGTCCAAATAGAGCCAAACAACAATGAGGATGTTATTATTCTGACACAAAAGGTTAACAAAATAAAACCACCGGAATTTCTAGAAAGCATTAAACCCCTAAAGGCTGAAGCCTGGATATTTAAGACCGAATAGATATTCGACGTATTTCTATGCTCAGAGGCCCATAAAGTTTTGTTGGCAACATTTACTTTGAAAGAGGAAGCCAGATGATGGTGGATGTTGGTCCAGAATGATAACGAAGCTATGACATGGGAACAGTTCAAGGAAATGTTTAATGAGAAGTATTTTTCGCAGTGCTTTCGGGATCCTAAAGTGGCAGAATTTGAACAACTGAAATAAGGCAACATGACCATAGCCAAGTATGAAGCCAAGTTCATGGAGTTAGCCCGATACGCACCTCACATGGTAGACACTAATTACAAAAAGGCTAGGAAATTTGAAAGA